TTGGTTGAGGCGACGTAAGGTTATGCGAAATGCAGTTAAACATCATATTTTTCACTGGACACTTATCAAACAGCGTTTACGTTTTTCTGGTCTGAACAGAAAAACAAGTTGGAGTTGCAGTCCTGTATCTTACTATGCCATTATGACTATACTTTTGCCTTTTATTAATTAACCAGAAAAAGTGATTCTGGTTAAGCCTGACTGTGAAAGTTGCCCTGCAAATAAAGATAGTCTCAGGAGGAGTATAAAATCTTTTTGAAAAAAAAATTTGTTATTTCCCTTCCATCGAAATCAAAGCAAAGTACAATATTTTGGTTTATGAGAAACTTCTGTAGATTACCAGAGGCATAAGAAAATGTTTAATTTTTTTAACACCAGTCTCTACGGTTGTATTCTTTTCTGACTTGGAACATAAAAAGAATTTGAGTAAAATACAAGTTCAACGTTGATTATCGCTAGCATTCTGCTGACAATAATGGACAAGAGTAAAAGAAAAAAGTATGCTTTCTTTATTCCATAACTTCCAAAAAAAATTACTGGTCGGTACAATAATCTCAAAAGTTCAAAGGAGTCTATTCTGGGTAGTGCTGCGAAAATGTGGAAGATTTATTACGGCTAAACCTTACTGATAAGCTTTACAGTTTTAATAACGGCAGGAAATAATAGATGCAGGAGAGGTGTCGCTTTTAAAAGTTGTTGAGATTCTTCTGACAGCATCTTCAATAATATCGATATCAAATGATCAGCGTATAAATATTTCAAATATGGGATAACAGGCCAAAAGGTTTCTCAGACGCAAAAGAAAAAAGGGTGAAGGAAAACAATATTACATTTGAGAAATGAAGATTCCAAGAAAAAGTGTTTAGCTAATTATCGTTTAGTAACGAAACCAGCAGCAATATGCAATAGTTCCATTTTTTTATTTCAGTCTGGAAAAATAAATTTTGTTTTGATCTACAATTGCAATTTTTCTGCTAAACATTCACCTGACAATTTCATTTTCAACTGCTAAATTTATGAACAGCGCAACAACCTTTCCACTAATTGTCTTAATAAATATAATTCAAAAGACAAATTTTTAGGACATTTTATCTTGTACGACGGTAATAATGATGGTGAAAAAAAGTTTTGGTAAAAAGTGTTATAAAAAACGCTCATATACATAAATAAACTTTGCAACACGTAATAAATTAACGTTTTGTAATGTCAACAATGGTAACGTTACGAACAGCAGTTTTTCTATTACCAATCATTTAACTACTAAACTAAGCAATTCGGTTTAACAAATGATGCATATATATAGACAATTAATAAAGCTTAGTTTTAACTTTTGTTTTTTTTTTATTTTTTTCAATGAATAAGCGTATGTAAAGCAGCAGTTGAAATAATTTTGAAAAGTGGCAAGAGAAGTGGAAAAAAAGATACAACAGGAAACAAAGCATCTAAAAGAAGTAAACAAGCTTGTTTTTTTTTTTTTTTTTTTTCATTCCATATGTAAACGTTGGCCCTTGATGAAATATATTAGCCAAAACCTTATTTGTTGGCTTAAGTTTTCATAATTAGCGTAGCAAAAAGTTTTATTTTTGCTAAAATGTGTAATCAATTGATCACTTAGATGTGAAATAACAACAACAACAACAACAACAACAACAAGAGAAAAACAAAAAAATTTGTCAAAGCAATGGGGGTTTGGTGTAAAGCCTAATAAAAAAAAAAAAAAA